CTTTATGGGATTCGAACCACTGACCTCTGCAATATTAGTGCAGCGCTATACCGATTGAGGTAACAAGCCAACTGGGAGCAGGCTGTTAAGTTGATTCGTAATATACCCGTGATGATAAATCAGATACAAAGAATATATGAAGTTTATTTTATCAGGCTTGTAGCTCAATTGGTAGAGCGCTGCACTAGTATTGCAGATGTCAGTGGTTCGAATCCCGTACAGGCCTGATTTTTTTTCTTTTTTTCAGGTCTGATTTTCGCCATTGCATAAATAGCGCTCTCTACTGCGAGGATTGTGTATCATACGTGTAAATCACTTTGTTATCATGCCAAGTAAATACAGGTCTCTATCACAATAAGGTCACCTTCAGCCTCACTCTGAAGCAAAGGCTTGGCAACTAAGTGCACAAATGGCCTACTCTGTGTAGTGCTTGAAATGCGAAAATAATATTATGATTGCCTAGCGCTATCAGCCAGAAATCTGTCAACAAGCAGTCATACAGTATGTGTCAGTGCTTCAAATGGCTGATATCTCAAGGAATGTTTATTTTGCTGAAATCAGAGTAGACTGAAGCAGTAGAGGTCCTTATGGCTGGCAAAGACATTCTTGCAATTTTTTCAACCGACTTTGGAAAGAGTGTTATATGCAGGGTGTTTTGTTTCACAAAAATCTGTGAAGAATGTGTCCTTGTAATCTCACTGCTCAACAAGATTGTGTTGGAACAAGGTGGCAAACTGAAACAACTTGGCCTTACAGCACTTTAGTCAGGACGTATACAAAACATGGACCGGGGTCCATGGACCACCCCTATGGACCCGGTCCATGGACCACCCCTAATTTTTTAAAAAGAAGATCGCCCCTGTTAATATGAAAATTTACCAAAGGTCAGGGTACGAAAAACATGGACTCGCATTTATCGCGCCCCCATAAATGGAAGACCACAAACTCGTTTTGAGATACAGAAGATTGAGTGCATTTCTACACCCAATATTTTCATTCCAACCCTTCCAAATTGCAATTCGATCGGGAAGACACCCCTACCACGCTTATTATACTCTATCATGCGTAAAAATAAGCCGATTTATTTTATAAGCGAAGTTTACCCTACAAACACAAATTTGTAATCAAGGTATCTTGGTGAAAAAGTTTAATGGATAGCTTGTAATTTTAATGAGAGAGCACAGAATCATTTAGTTTCCGTATTGAATTTGATTCATTTTGTGAAAACTAATTTGGCATCGGACTTCCAGACATGAATGTTAATTCAATTAACCCTAAAATAAATTATTTCACTTGTTTGTGCTACTTTTAGTACGATGATCATGAATTTTACAGAAAAAAGGTCCAGTAAAATAGATTACATAATCTTATACCCTGATTTTTGTGTTGTTATTAAAGTGTTGACAATAAATTTAAACTGGCAGAAAACATGACAAGGAATTCTCACACACATGGTTTCAATTACGCAGTTTTCGAACTCACCATACATACATACTTTATTTATTCCATAAACAAACTATATCTCAAAACGAGTTTATGGTCTTCCCATTTATGGGGGCGCGATAAATACGAGTCCGTGTTTTTCGTATCCTGACCTCCGGTAAATTTTCATATTAACAGCGGCGATCTCCTTTCAAAAAATTAGGGTCCATGGACCCCAGTCCATATTTTGTATACGTTCCTGTAGTCATCAGAAAAAGACAAAGACTGTACCAATGCTATCTTTGGAGAAAAATTAAAAGCACACTCACACAGCAAAAGTTGTTCCTTGACTGCCTGTGCATACTTTAGGAGTTTTATTCATGAGAGTCATCCTTACTGAAACATTTTACAGATTTCCATGCAGTTTAATGTGCATCTTAAAATTTGAAATTGTGTAATTTTCTTAGCTAGATCACTCGTGTGTTGCAATGACATGAAGATTGATGGGTAATATGGATGTCGTATTAGCAGATCTCATTGGTTATGCTCAATTGAGATTAAAATTGGATGTGTGACTCAGCTATGCAAGATGAAACTCTTTGGCTTAGTCACTTTATGAGAGCCTCACTCATGGAGCTCATGCTGTGCATCAACATCACTCCAAGAGCTTCCTACTGCATGCTTACCTCAATTTTTTTTTAAATTTTTTTGTTTTGACTCATGCAACAGACTTTTCTGTAAAGGAAAGACTGTTTGAAGTGTATGAAAGACTGCTTGAAGTCTATGAATACAATTGAGCACAGCTCTTTTTGCCAACCACATTTCAATCAAAGTTTATTGTGACATTAAGAAGTTGAGTTAAAGTAGAACAATCTGGAGAAAAAGGCATTGGATAGCAAAGCTCTATAAAAGTAGTCAGTGCACTGCAGCCCCTGGAAATATGAGTGGACCAACATTGTAACAGAAAAAGAGAAGAGGAAGTATACAGAGGTTTCTCACAATAATTCATTGTTAGATAGATAAGTCGTTTATTAAAAGGAAACACCTCGCAGTCCGAAGACTGAATTACATGTATAATATACAAGAAACAAAATTCATAGTTGAAATAGTTTGAAAATGTTAATAATCTTAATTGGAGGATAGTTAGCACTGATATTTCTTAACTGGAAGAAAAAATTTTTAAAAAAGTTTTGATTGGTCCAATTAGTATAGTGGATGAATGACAATTAGATTCAGGGTAACATGATTTGATCAGCCGGATCAAATCATTTGGAGGTGCAAGTAAGAGAGGGTTTGAGTTAACAGGAGTCAACTTTTTCCGATGTACATGTAGTTCACCAATACAAAATTTCCATTTTACCAAAGATGAATTTATTTGTTACTTTCACAGGTGTGGAGCTGGTTTGCTTCTCTTTTGGTATGCAAGGGGCAGATATCAATGTGAAGCAAAACCTTGTACATAACCTGATTGATTATCTGGGTTTGGATCCTTCAGAAATACACCTAGAAGGAAGTGAGCAAGTGGGAGTCAATTGGTGGAATGTGAATTGTAGAATTCCCAAAAGGAAGGAAATGTTAGACAACTTGCGATGGGCTGCTGTTCAAAAACTCCCTTGGCTTAACCATTGTGGGGTCAAAGCAGTGCAAATTGGTAATGAATCCCAAATTCTACTGCAGCCAATCACACGCTCACACACACTAATCACACCAGGTAAGTGCTTGGGACAGTGTGGATGTTGACCTATGTACATGATGAAGAAGAATCAATAATGGAGACTTTGAGCAAACAATTAGGAACAAAAATCAGTGATAAAAATTTAGAATGGCCTTTTGATGACTTGTTATCAATTTCAAATTCTAGAAGTCAGATTCCTAGGAGTTCTTCATCTACCAAGAATGTGCATCACCAAAGTAACCAAATGTAGTCAGAATTGTTCATAATGGTGATTCCTGACCCTTTGTTCATCTTTCCATTTCTTATAAATCCTGAAAAACAATGGTCCTTCTCGGTAAGAAGCAGTACCACAAAATGATAAGCAGCCATATTTCAAAATTCATATGGATTTTAGGCAGAGGTGCTGATACTCTTTAACATATAATCACTGTGCGAAGGCTTAAGTTTGCTATTCATCAGCACCAGATATCTTCTATGGAGATCAAAGCCAACTTTGGAACTAATAGACCTACTGACAACAATGTCATTCAAAATGAAATCTACTAGTGATCTTTCCCTTGATCTGTCCTCTCTTTGCCATCTCCTCCTATTTTCAGCTGATTTGTCATTAATAAAATGGAAAGAATAGAATTTTGCATTTTAATTTGCTGTTCAATGCACTTGTTTTGTGAATGTTTTTTAATTTGCTTGGTTTTGTTTACGACATATGCAGATTGTAATCACAATGACAAAAACCTGGACCTGATTCTGGTCATTGACTGTGCTTTATCAAATCCAGTGCTGTTAGGACGTCTGAAGACTCAGCTGAGGTACCTGATCAATGATATTTTTGACAGTTTCCACCTCAGACTGGCACTCATCAGTTACCAAAACCATAAAAGGCATCCACGCTCAGGAATGCGATCTGGTGATCTTCAAATTAACAACACAGCATTAGTGCAGAACTTTACTGACAGAAGGGATATCATGAAAGAAGCCATAGAAAACCTGCGTCGTTTTGGAAGTAAAGGTACAACTAGAGGGCTAGCAGATGGGCTAGCACTAGCAGTGCAACTCAGTGAACTTGGTGATGACATTAACAACCTTAAGTGTCGCAAAAATGCTATCAAAGTCTGCATATTACTGCGTGAGTATAAAGAAATTCATGTGTGTTATTAATTATGAGAAAAGGTGTGAGGACTCACTGCCTTGGATAATGCTCATTATTAAAAACTAGATCATTGGATAATGCAATTCAAGACTTCTCATTGGCTTAGCCATTATGATATATGAGCCAATATACCATAATCTGTATATGGAAACATTCGGTTTCTTCTTACAAAATAAATTCAAGAATATATTTAATCACTTTCACCAGAGTATGGTGAGGGTCGCACAACAGAGTGAGGCTCCAAATTAAGTGCGCCCATTATCCAACCCATCCCACCCCAGGGGAGGACATCCATCACACAGTAATCTCGTGTGTGGGAAATTAACGTCTCCTACCCCAACCATGAAGATTTGTCTAATATCTTGGGAGCGTTTTTTTTTAATAAAACAATTATTCCACTTGCGCTTGTTGGATATGAGATGATTATAGCCAACTCGGCGCTACGCGCCTCATTGGCTATCTATCATCTCATATTCAACGCGCGCTCGTGGAATAATTGTTAAATACAGCTGTAAGATTTTGCCTGATGTATATAGAATGATCACTACGAAGTGAACTGCAAAGTGTAAGGTTACTTCCTGTTAGTAGTATTTGAGCTAAGAAAATTTACATTTACATTTATTTCTCCAAATCTTAGCAGAATTAGATATAAGGTGAAAATTAAAGTAAAAGATATAGAATTTTCAAGGAAACAATACAAAATTACACCAATTATGTTGAGTCACATTGGACATAGGAAGGAGAGGAGAGGGGCACGCCTGGATAAACTAATATTGTGCCCCTTCAATTTCAGCAGTATAACAAAAAAAAAAGAAACTTGTAATTTAAAAAGTAAAGGAAAACTTATAAAAAATTGCTAAGTAAATTGTCAAAGTGATGATGTTTCAGTAGTAATGAGCAAGATACATGAGTGTAAAAGTGCTTTAATTTCTAAACATTTTTTTAGATGGTTTGTCTTTAATTAATTGCAGAATACTACTCCTAAAGAATCTTCCAGTAACAATTTTGAAATCAAACTTTCCTTATGCTTGATTTGACACTGAGGAGCTTCAAATTATCTCTTTGAATCTTCGCTTGTGTTCCTTTTATATTGAACTCAACCTTACGTATACAAAAGCCTCAAAATCGTCTTCCACTGCTTCCTTTTTCCTTCCTTTTTTTGAAGACATTCTTTGTTCCTTAGGTCTTACATAACTTTCAAAAAAGTAAGTCAAAGAACAGAAAAAATAGTCAAATCAAATATAGTCTAGTGGAGCTAGAAGAAATGTGACCATCTTGCTCACCCAGGCCACTGACCACATATCTAAGCTAAGAACAAGAAAAAACTACTTTTATTTATGCTTTCAAATAGGAATATTTAGATTATATTTGCAATTTTATATGAATCATCATGATCATTAATTATAGCATTTTGGTTTCATCTACCTCTTTGCAGCCATGCTGGAACAAAGGACTAATCTTGAAATCTTTGAGTGTGAACATGGCCATGATGTGATGAAGCTCTGTCAACAGCTTACAAAGAATTATGTGACTCTTCATACCATAGTGATCCCCCAGCCAATGCCAGCATACCTTCCAGACCTGGCACATGACCTTATGACAGACTTTTTCACAGGAATTTCCCTGAAGACTGGTGGTAAATTTTTCCAGATACCAGATGTCAAGTTTATTTCCCAGGTAAGAAACTAAAGGCTCCTTACTTAAGATAATTGACAGTTTACCAGAACCTAATCAGGTATTTTCTTTAAACTTTGACTACACTGTAGGGTTCTATTATTATAATTATAGCTTTGATGGAGGTGACTGTTCCTTAAAAACTGTTGGTCATGAGTTGATGACTAAAGTAGCTAGCAAAATGACTTAAGGGTACAACATTACTGGAAAATTTACCTGCCTATAAATATGGATTTAAATGTCATTTTTTTTTTAGTTTTGTAGTAGGTAAGAAGATTTTACAATAATTGATTATTTGCATTTGATTGCCTTGACTAATTTTCCTTTTGGTAGGTTGCCAGGTTTACAATTGATGCAAATATCTCTGAGGAACATCTCTTTGGCACTGCTTAGGACATTGTTGTTGAGGAAATCAGACAGGCAGAAGGTGGAGATGTCTCCCTAGAGGATCTGAATGTTAAACTTCAAGAGGGCCTTAATCGCAGATCTTCTCGTGTCAAACGTATACTATTTGATGGAAAATTGGCCATTGGACCAGCAACAAAGTTAGCAAAGAAATTCTTACTGGATGAAGACTTTCCCAGTGCTTGTGCGACATTTAAGTCTGCTCTGGAAAGAATACGTCAATCGACAGGTAATATCTTTGGAGTGCGTGGAACACCAAGTGATATTGAAATGGAGGAAGCACAAACTACCACTCCACAATTTTCTTTATCCACTGGTTGTGTAATAACCACAGATGACTCGGAGAGGATACTTCAGAGAGTTGTTCAACGGAGATTCTCTTCTGGATAATGTTAAAGGCATAAAATGTTAATTCTGTATCTAGCATTCATATGACTGTACAAAAGCTTTGTAACACATGCTATTCATATGTTGTATTGGCCCAAACAAATTCTGCCTCTTAGCCACAGTTTGGTCAATGGCATTTCAAAATGTTCTATCAAAGATGGAGAAATTTCAGTTATGATACCACATAGTGGTATTAAAATCTTAATAAGGTATTCATTAGACTATTGTTGACCAGTTATAATGTATGTAATACATTGTACTTTGTTATTATTGTGAAGTAGGTATTTTGGTTTAGTTTTGTCCTTGGTACAAATTTAATAATCCTTTTTTTTCAAATGAATTTGATTCACTATCATAAAATTATTGAAAAACAAACTAAAGGAAAATTTAATGCAAACCAAGGATAAATTTGTATGACAAGTTCCACACTACTTTGCATGGGAGATACCAGAGAGTAATCTGTGAAATTTCAGGTGTTAAGCAAGAAAGACTTGCTTGACAAACTAAGACCTTGATGTAAAAACAAACAGGTGCCAGTTCACAGTCACATGCTGTCCATGTGCATGTATCAATGGCTGTATTTGTTATGTTGCGGAGCAAATCGCCAGAGGAAGCATGAGCATGAGAATGCAAGAGAGAATTCTTTTTCAAAACATGTAATGGTCCACAGGACACTAAAAATCATTTGAGGAATAGACCGCACTTCTATTAGTTTACCAGTGTAATAATCCGCATGGGATGTTGGGAAAACAGGAGAAGAGTTGGTAAATCACCAGCTGGAGACAAGTGATGTACAATGTTTTTAACTGTTCTTCCAACATTCCTCGTGGGTTATTATGCAGGTAAACCAATAGAAAGTGAGACCTTTTTTTTTTTAATTTACAGCTGTTATGGTGCATTGTAAAAATTGACATATTTTGATGTCATTTAGACATGATGAAAATTATCAAAAGTTAGGAATGAAGAAATTAGGTTTAGGTCTTTATATTAACCAACTTTTTTATCACTTTTGCTGTCATTTTTTGCTATTTATTATGGTTGCATGTATGATTGCTACTTTACTCTGAATTCTCACAGGAATCTTTAAGGTAATAAAAAAAAGGCTGTAACTATTATTTTGCTGTCAGAGGTGTTTAAAGATATCATTTTTCTAAGTGGTAGGGATTTATAAAGCCTATTATATACTTTCTAGCTTTTGTCAGTGTGTGGGAGTCTCACCTGCATATGTGAAAGATAATTCATAATCTGTGGCAATTACATTGCAGTTAATTATGAATAAAAAAATACTTATTTGGTGTCGGTTTCATTTTAACCAACACAATGAAAAATTTAAGCAGGGAAATATTCAAGGGGCTACTTTCCCCCAAAGAATCAGCTGTTCTTCATTAAGAGTCATTGAAGGTGTAAGTGAGTCCATATCACAACCACCTGGCAAGAATCTCATTCCCAGTAATGGTCCCATATGGGTTTGACCAGCGTACTTCATGTTACTGTGTGCCTGTCAGATGATAGATCACAGTGGACATCCAGATGTTGAAAGGAAAAAATGTGGCTCATTGATGTTTCCATCACATTTCAGCAACCTCCTTGATCTGTTACTGAACAGATGCATGGAAACTGTATGGAATTTTATTTATTTATATAATAAATAAGGAAGCAAAATGTTGAAAATGGATCTTTCTTTTAACAAATCATAAACAAGAATCAATGAAAATGTGTAAATAATTCATACTGTTATATACAGTAAAACAAATTATTGAAGTTGTAAGGATAAAGCTCTAGAAATAAATCAGATAAAAAGGCTGTCAAAATGCAATCTATGGGCAATACCAAATAGAAAATTGACTAGAGATGAGTAATTGTCTGAAAAAGGCTACTCTTGAGTCCATTATTTTTGATATTAATGATATCTCACGAATTTGGCTAGAAATTTCTTTACGGAACAGAAAATAAGATAACCAAGCTCTTTTAAATTAATTTATAAAAGTCCCAGACACATTTATCATTTTGGAAAATCTCAGCATGCCACGTTCGGTGAGTATAGCCCACAAACCAGCTCTCGTAGCAGAAGCCTAAACAATATTTTCTAGAGGTGGAAATCCTTTTTCAGCATCTTACTCTGTGGCATCTTGTGTCAAGTGAAAGGAGTAGCAGAGGGCGGAGAATTCACTTTGCACGAATTGCAGTAGTAGGACAGGTCCAAAAACAAAACAAAAAATTGAGAAAATGCCAGGTTACTCAGCTAGTGATGGAAAGTGCCGGATTTAAGAGACGTCTTGTAAATAAAAGTGAGGCAGAACAAGTAGTAGGAAGTTGGTGTCGTAGTCTGGTTATGGTTAAAGATTATTATGTCTCGGAAAAAACGTAAGAATAAAGGGCAACGCTCTGCAAAGCTTCAGAAAGCATTGTGTAACAACGGTGTCAGTGGAAGAGGTAAGCTTCTCTCTACTCAGCAACACTCTTCCCAAATCAGTCTTGTTCAATAAATATATCTTATTAGACGTTTTGTTGTGTAGTATCGCAGAGTATTTTTATGAGTTGTGCCGTATTTTGACTCGCCCTACGGGCTCGTCAAAATACAAACAACGAGGAAAAATACTGAGCGATACCACACAACAAAATGTCTTATAAGAGATTTATTATCCAACACGCCTAATTGTTATTTCATTGCGGGCGAATATCGCGGATATTTCTGGAGTACAAATATCGCGTGATATTTGTACTCGTCTCGCGCGTTATTTGTACTCTATGAAGCACAGTTGGATAATAATGAGCAGCTACCACAGCTTTGGGCCCTTTCCTATCTTAGTCTGTGCCATTTGATAAAAATCTTCTGTTTCTTTTAATTTGCTGACTTCAGCCTTCTAGGGACGAGTTTTGAATGAGGAATTTTCAACTGTTGAATCCTTCTAAATCCTTAAGATAATTTAAGCTTACAAAATTGATATTGTTTATTACTGCAATTGTTCTAGTCACTTTTCGGTGCTGGTAATGAGCATCAGTTGCATGTAGAAAACTAAAGATTGAGGGAAGGGTGGGGCATCTATAAAACAAACTTATGATGGGCACTGATTTTTGTCATTCCATATACCATCTGCACCCACATCCGGTGGGTTTTCGGTCAAGAAGTATGGATTTTGTACATTCTGTGAAAACCTCTCATTGAGATGGAATCCTTCTATTGACATTTTTAAGATAGGGGTGGAAACAGAAAATCAAGAGTGCACACTCCTGCCATCTTTAGCTTGAGTACAGGTTATTAAGATCAGTAACATCCTTTTATAGAGAAGTGTAGTTCTTAGGTGTGACTCACTGCTTCAAGATATCTTTATCTGTCACATCCTCATCCATTTTTGGGAAAAGCAAAGGGTGCATAGTTAATGGACCATTTCACCTGCAAATGCAATTAACTTGTTTTTTTGTTTTCTTTTTTTTCAAATCGAAATGTGTAAGGGTAGGGCTCAAAATTGCGACTCACTGGTCACCAATGTGACCAAAAATTGAGCTCTGGTAACTAACTTTTCAGAACTGGTCGCCAGCTGGCAACTCACGTTTTGTCCAGTAACTAAAGAAAACCACGACACAACTTTTGCTATTAAATCTTTATACTAGGAAATCAATCGGGCATGATAGCTAGTATACAACTCACCTTTCCGTCCCCAGTAGAATGATTTCTGAATATTACGAGATAATAAAAAAAAAATGAATGTATTTCGACACGTTGATACCCCGTTTATGCCGCACCATATTGTTTCAGTGGCTTCTCCCGAAACTGGGATTGCAGGTGCCCTTCAACACCATGTGCCATTCATTTACCGCAAAAATGGCAGCAGATACAAATCAGTTGAACAATTTGGAGAAAGAAGTAGTACTTTACAGCTGAAAATATCGCGTTCACAGTTAGGTAATTTTCCCGAGTTCCAGCTATTGTGTACAGCCCTGTAAGTGTTAATCGTGTTTTTTCCAATTGTTTTTGCTCTTCAATTGGGACTTTTCTTGCATGCAAAGTAAGGTATAAAATCATGTCTTTGGGTAAGTTATAGATAAAGTAAGTTGGCGACCAAAATTTACAATCTGGCAACCAAAATTTTTCCATTCATCGCCAGCTGGCTCCCAAACAAAAAAGTTAATTTCAAGCCCTGAAGGAATGACTAGTTTGTTTGGGAAATTTTGTCATAGTTGTGTCACCCAATTCTGTCTGTAATCATACTTGTGATTTTCAGATCAGACTCCTGCTTCCTGGTCGTAGTGATACCTATTTCCATTGCAATGGATAATGAATGCGATGATGGGGTAGTAATTTTTGTTGTGGAGGGGGTTACTGGTTGGGTATCTCATCACAGGTAAACCACCGCACAACTTTATAAACTTAAGGGACCTCTTTGTGGTATCATTAACCCATTGACACCTGAACCCCCCCGAACCGCCTGTGCGTAACAACCCTAACTTTCCCTGAACCGCCCATAATTGCCCGTAAAAAATGGCGATCGTATTACAATATAGATTAATGCTCTAGATTAATGCTATTCATACCAAAAAATGTTTCAGATCTGGCTGTTGAAGACTTTGGTAATGCCAAACATGCAACGAAAGCACTCAGGCAAATGTCAAGAGGATTTTCTTCAAGTGCAAGTATGTTTGATACAAGTTATGCATCTCAGCTAAAGCAAGTTAGTGCCCTGAGCATAAAACTGAAAGAGATTCTGGTTTAACTGTTTATAATTAGTTCTTATTAACCGAGCGGGAGGTCTGTATGGGAGAATCTTGACCGAGGTCGCCAGTACAGACCTCACTGCGTGAAGATGTTTATTATATGGCTGTGTCTTATATGCCAATTTTTAAATTCTTTGTACCTTTTCTAGACCAGTCTAGATGCCAGTCTAGATGGCAAAATCTAGACTGCTTTCAATATTGATTTCAGCCAATCAAATTCATGAATTCGGCAGTTCCCAGTCCTTGTGAGACAGCCATATAATAATGTGAAGTATTATTGACTTTTTACCCATGGGGGTGATTCATTTCTTTAACCTAAGTTTTCTTTTCAGTAAAAACAGAAACGTAAATTTCTTAAATTGTAATACAGTCGAACCTTGATCACCCAGACTCGTCGGGACCTCAGAAAATAGTCTGGATAATCGAGAGTCCGGATAATTGAAAATATGAATATTTATGACATAGAAATGTAAACAAAAGTGCACAGGGTGAAGAAAACATCATTTTAATTGTGAAATCTAGACAGCCTGTATGTATTTACAGAGAAAAACATTCAGTTCAGGTATAGTAGGTATTTACAAAGGTCTAAAATGTTAAAGCATGTTTGTTTGCTTCAAAGACTTGTAGCTTGATCACATTGTAAAGTCCATCGTTCGTCTTAGCCGCATTAACTTCACAGGGTTAATATCTTTCTGTGATTCCATCCGCTGCGAGTATTTTTTGAAACATTGTGCTAGTCGATAGTAGTTTCTCATCCTCGCCCTCATCTTCCTCATGGCTACATACACTTTTGATTTCCGTCGAATCTCCACTGGTCAACAGTTGCTAAAATCTCTTCATCAGACATTTGTGGTGAATTCGGGAGCTCGTTTTCCAGATTTAGCCAGTCTTCCCAATGCAAGCATTAGGCATTTCCTCATTGTCAAGTTGCTGTACATGTTCCAGCATTTC